GGGGGGGGGGGGGGGGAAGGGAGAAGTACAACGGCGAAGGGTTGCAAATTTTAGCCAACTAGGAGAGGGGGTTCGTGAAACTGACTGAGCCACCACCATCCCTCTGTTCGCATGCAAATTCATTAAAAAATTTTTAAATAAAAAATATAAATCTTTGTTAATTGAAATTTCACGAGAAGGTGGAAGGGGGAGGTATGATGGCACAGGGTTGCAATATTTACCCAACAAGAGGAGGGGGTTCCAGAATCTATCTGAGCTACCCTTCATCCCTCCGTTCGCATGTGTTAATTAAGTAAATTTAAAAACTCTTGAATGAAACATTAAAATTTCCTTAATTAACATTTCACGAGGGGCCGGAAGGGGAAGATACGACAGCGGAGGGTCGCGAATTTTACCCAACAAGGGGAGGCGGTTGTCGAATCCGACGGAGCCACCCCCATGCGTTGATTAAATAAAAAAAATTTTAAATAAATAATGAAAACCGCGAAAATTGATCATTTACGAGGGGTTGCAGGGGGAGGTATGATGGCGGAGGGTTGCAAAATTCACGCAAAGAGGGGAGGGGATTTTAGAATCTATCTGAACCACCCCCCATGTCTCTGTTTGCATAGAAAAATTATTAACAGAAATCGTTAAATAAACAACGAAAATTGCGAAAATTGATAATTTAAGAGGGGGTGCAAGGGGGAGGTAAGATGGCGGACGGTCGCAAATTTTACTCAACAAGGGGAGGGGGTTTCAGAATTGATCTGAGTCACCCCCCATCCCACCGTTAGCATGCGTTGATTGAAGAAAAAAAAATTTAATGAAAAATGAAAATCTCGCAAATTGAGATTATGCGAGGGGGCGGAAGGGGGAGGTACGACGACGGAAGGTTGCAAATTTTACCCAACAAGGGGGCGGGGCTCCCAAATCTCACTGAGCCACCCCCATGCGTTAAAAAAAAAAGTTTAAAAAAAATCGAAAAAGAAATTCTTAAATAAACAATAAAAATCGCGAAAATTGAAAATTTACGAGGAGCTGGAAGCGTGAGGTATGATGAGGGTGGGTTGCAAATTTTACCCGATAAGGGAAAGGGGTTCCTCAAACTCATTGAGCCACCTCCATTCCTCTGTTCGCATGCGTTATTTAAGTAAAATTAAAAATTTTTTCATAAAGGTAAAAAAAAAAAAAAATTATGCAATTTGTAGACATTTTACGCGCATTTTACGCATTCCTTACGACGGCCATCCCACCTTCTAGGGACATTTATGAAATTTATGCAATTTGTAGGCATTTTACGC